ATAAGCATAATTTTGACTGCTTTCTATCTCTTCGGATGTCAATCCCAAGAATCCAGGACGCAACTCCCAGATCCTTCATGTCGAACTCCTTATTGAGTTCAGCCTTCACCCTTATTACATCTTCGACATTGTTGCTTGCTATTAGAATATTATCCACATAGAGCAACAAAATCACAAATGAATTACCCGGTCAAAATCTGAAGTAAACACAGTGGTCAAACTAACTTTTGATGAAACTTATGTGTGTCATGAACTTGTCGAATCTCCTATTCCATTGTCGAGGAGATTGTTTCACTCCATATAAGGATCTATTCAGCTTGAACATATAATCTTCCTTCCCTTTTTCGACATACCCTTCAAGTTGCCTCATCATGATTGTTTCATCTAAGTCACCATACAAGAACACAGTCTTCACATCCATCTGTTCCAGTTCAAAGTCAAACTGTGCCACTGTGGCAAGAAACATTCGAATGGATATGTGCTTCACAATAGGAGATAATACATCATTGAAGTTGACACCTTCTTTCTGAGTGAACCCCCTAGCAACTAATCTTGCCTTGTATCTCTTTGACGCCACTCCTTCGACTCCTTCCTTAACTTTGAAAATCCATTTACAGCTGACTAACCTAGCTCTAGCAGGTTTCTTGATCAGTTCCCAGGTGTTGTTATCATGAAGATATTTCATCTTATCATCCATGGCCTTCATCTATTCAGTCTTCTTTCGACTCCTTATAACTTCCTTATAGTCTCTAGGTTCTTCATCTAGAACCTCACTTGCAGAGATTAAGGCATAAGCTATAAGATCTGCATATCCAAGTCTCTGAGGTGGTTTAATGACTCTCCTCGACCTGTCTCTTGCTAGCAGGTAATCATTATCAGTCTCCTTATTTTCGGCAACATCTTCTACGTCTTCTTCGACTTCATCTGGGGTACGCAATTCAGCATCAACATGCTCCACCTCAACAGGAATCTCTCCTTGTTCCAACTCTTCGTCAGTATTATCAGTTTTCTTGAAAGCCATCTCTGCTTCATTAAAAACTATAACTTGACTGGTGACACACCTCTTGTGACCTGGCTCTAGGCACCACATCCTATAAGCTTTGACTCCTTCAGGGTATCCCATGAACATGCATTTCAGAGCTCTAAGTTCGACCTTGTCTTGCCTAATATGAGCATAGGTCACACAGCCAAATACTCTCAGTCTGTCGAGACTAGGTGGATGTCCCGACCAAATTTTTTCAGGCGTCTTCATTCCCAAGGCAGTCGAGGGACATCTATTTATTAGGTAAGCTGCTATCAAAACAACCTTCGTCCAAAACACCTTCTTCAATCCAGCACTAACCAACATGTATCTAACTCTTTCAAGGATTATTCGATTGAATCTCTCAGTTAAGCCCTTTTGTTAAGGAGTAATTGCTACAATCTTATGCCTTGCAATCCCAGACTCAACACAGTAATTGTCGAACGCTTCATTACAGAATTCAAGGCCTTTGTCGATTCTCAACCTCTTGACCTTTCTGCCAGTTTGAGTTTCGACCAGAATCTTCCAACTTTTGAAATTCACAAAAGTTTCATCCTCCGTCTTCTGAATGAATACCCATAGCTTTCTAGAATAGTCATCAACGATGGATAAAAAATACCTTGCACACGAGTGTGAAGGATTCCTCGCAGGCCCCCAAAGATCAACATGAATGTAATCTAGGGATCCATGTGTTCTTTGCTTACCTTTGTTAAATTTCGCCCTGCAGGATTTACCAAATACACAAGATTCATAAAACTCCAACTTTTCGACTTTGTCACCTCCTAGTAGGTTCTGCTTCCCCAATTCGACTAGGCCTCTTTCGCTGACATGGCCCAATCTCATGTGCCATAATTCTGTCTTCGACATAGGTTTTGTGGATACAACATTTGTCAAACCAGTTACAACCTCAGCCTCAAAGGTATATAAGCCTTGTTTCTTCACGCCTCTCAAGACTTCCTTCGACCCTTTCATGACTCTTAGGATACCGTTCTCTCCTTAAAAAAACATATCCTTTTTTGTCAAATTCACCAAGAGAAATCAAATTTCTCTTCAAGTCAGGTATATACCTGACTTCAGTCAATAACTTTATTGACTCGTCATAGAGCTTGAATCTCACAGATCTAATACCTACAATTTTGCAAGATTTGTTGTTTCCCAACAGCACAAATCTACCATCTTAATCACATAGCTCCTCGAATAATTTCCTGTTTGGAGTCATGTGTCAAGTGCAACCTGAATCCATATTCCACTATTTTCTCGAGTCGACACTTGAAACCACAAGAACATCAGATAAGTCGAAGTCATCTTGAACAATGGATGCGTTGCCATTACCTTCATGACCTTTCAGGTGTTCAGGGCACACCTTTCTTGTGTGGCCCTCCTTCTTACAGTGATAACATCGAATGCTATATGTTTCGCCACTATAAGACTTCTGTTGACTTTTACCTTTCTTCTTGTCGAACTTACCATCCTTTCGCAAGAATTTTCCCTTAACGGCCAAACCTTCGCCCACCGTCGAAGGTTTATGCTCCTTTCGTTCGTTCAAGTCCTTAGAATATAAGGCTGATTGAACTTCTTCAAAGGTCAGGGACTCCCTTCCATACAAGAGAGTTTCTTTGAAGTGAGCATGTGTTTTGGGCAAAGCACATAGCAACAACAGTGCTTAATCTTCATCATCGATCTTAACATCAATATTTTTAAGATCAAGAATTAGCTTGTTGAACATATCCAACTGCTCAGCCAACACTTTGTCTTCACTCATCTTGAATGAATACAAAGCTTGCTTTAGGTAGAGTCGATTCACCAGAGATTTGGTCATGTACAAACTTTCAAGTTTCACCCATAATCCCGATGATGTAGTCTCTTTTGAAACCTGTCGAATAACCTTATCACCAAGGCTCAACAATATTGCGTTGTGGGCTTTCTCAATCATGTACGTCTTTTCTTTTGCCGTTAATGCAGCGTCCATGGTTGCCCCTCCCTTCAACGCTTCAAACAACCCTGCTGAACTAGTAGGACCTTCATCTTCAAGCGCCACAAACCGAAGTCGTTCACTTCGGTGAACTTTTCAATCTCATACTTTGTTAAAGGCATCTCCTCCACGCTCACCGCACCAATTTGTTGTGAATCAGATGTCTTGAAACAAAGTATAAACGATTTCTTTATGATCAAGAAACACACAAGAGTTAAGGTTAACAATGATAATAAGGTAAAACAACAAGGAACAACAATGATTGATTATTAAACTGCTATTCTTTCCTTACTCTTAGAACAAAATTACAAGTATACAAGAATAACAAAATAACCTCTCTCTCTCTCTCTTGAAATTAGGATTTTATCTTCCTATTTTTCCTCATGTCAAGATTGAGAAACTAGCATACTATTTATAAGAAAAATAACACACTAACCTAATGAGCTTTTTAACAATTATCCATTACAAACTAACTTAGGGTACAAACTAACTTAAACAATTTGGCTTACAAGTAAGGCCCAATTCAACATGTTAACGAACCTAGCAATATTGACTAATTCATGTTAGAACAAACTTCGACTACAACACACATTATCTTCGACAGCAGCATGAGAACATATTTCAACCTCGTGCTTAATTCCTGTCGAACCAGAAACTACCCTTCAACCATACAAGAGTTCGATCCAATATCTCACACGATTCTTTCGAATACATACAACTTTGACCACTATAAATTATATTCAACTATGTCGAATACATGCGTATCCGTCTTTGTCAAATCCTGCATTTATAAACATGTTTAATACAAAAAAATTTATATTTAACACACTACCTTTATTAAAAACAAGTCTTATCTCACGTGTTATTTTCTGATATTTTCTTTTATGGACGAAGGAGACTAAAGGGCGGGTAATACCTCTCTTTCAACAGTTTGATGTTACCGACTTCTCTTAATATTGTCCCCAAACATCGATCGTTTTAGACAGAATCTTTTGCAAATATAACACTATATATAAATTGAAACTTTTATAAACTGTATATGAGAAAACTGTATATGAATTTAATTCTTACATGGAATCCTATTTGTCGTGGACCTTTTAGCTATTTGATACTATTTTCCCCTAAAAAAGGACTATTTGATAATAATTTAGCTATGTCCAGATAAGTTCATCTGGCAAGCCTGTCATCGAACAAAAGTGACAACTACTTCCCCTCTTATTTTAATCAGATCAACAATTACTTAATACTGAAAACAATGATTGATAGTATTCTTCCATTGCCAGTATAATATATCCTGCATGTTTCTTTATACCTCCAATTTTTTATACTTATCATTTCTCAACCATGAACATGGATAATGCTAGAAAATTCTACCACGTTATACTCACTATTTTCTTTACGTTATACCTTCAAATTATTTGACATCCTTGAATATGACTCATAGACACGTACTCTAATACAAACAGTAATTCATTCAAATAATTACAACCGTTATTACAACAGTTGATTTTTTATCAAATAATTTCATAGTTTGAAATTTCATCGGCTAAAAGTAAAATTAGTGAGATCTTACAAATCCAAATTTACATTAGAGATTTCTTTAAAAGTGTGTAAGAGTTTATAATACATATTCTTATATTTTTTCATAATTAGATGTCTCTGTACAACTATCAATTAAATCAATTGATTATTAATTTTATTTGAATTTAAAAAATATTGTAAAAATAATCTACTAAGAGAAAAACAAGAACTAGAGTGGACCCAAAAAAGGAGTGATAAAGAGTCGTTGGAGGGTAGGGTCCAGATGGGTGGGACCATGCAAGCGAAATCAAGCTAATAAAGGTCGGCAATAATATAATAATGTCATTGTTCATCCAACACGTACAAACAAATAAATTTATATTAATATAATTCAAAATTCAATTTTATTTAATCCTTAAATACCATGTTTCTACTCAAACACCACACATCACAATTAACTCCTAGATAACACACACAACACAAAAAATGGGTAAAGATGTTGAGGTTCAAGAACAAGGTGCTGAATTCTCAGCTAAGGATTACCAAGATCCACCACCAGCACCTATTTTTGATGCTGCTGAGTTTACAAAATGGTCTTTGTACAGAGCTGTTATAGCAGAGTTTGTAGCAACTCTTCTTTTTCTTTACATCACTGTTTTGACCATTATTGGTTACAAACGACAATCTGATACCAGTATTAAAGGTAACACTGAGTGTGATGGTGTTGGGCTTTTGGGTATTGCTTGGGCTTTTGGTGGTATGATCTTTGTCCTTGTTTACTGCACCGCCGGTATCTCAGGTATGAAACCATTCTCTCCTCAATATTGTTTCAAATTAGTTACAAGTTAGTTATGATTTGCTGAAAATTGGCAAGGCAGTTACAAGTTAGTTATGATTACTTGACAATTGTTAAGACAGTTACAAGTTTGTTATGATTACTTGAAAATTGTTAACCCAGTTACAGCTTACAAGTTAGTTACTGTCTTGTTGAAAATTGTCAAGTTGTTACAAGTTTGTTATGATTACTTGAAAATTGGTTATGATTACAAGGAGTTATATAATGTTTTTGAATAAAGATTCTAATCATAACCAATTTTCATCTAGTCACCGCTAATTAACTCTAATAACATCTATCTTTAATTTTTGATTAAAGATTTCCACTGATTTGTTAATTAGAGTTGATTTTTATGGTTCTCTGTTAGTAGATCTAATGAAAACTGTTTGGTTTTGAGAAATTTTAAATAAATGACAGAATCAAAGCGACAAAGACTAAATTTAAGTGGATAGAAGACCACTCTGCCACTTTCAATACCAGTCGCCTATTTAACTCCTCTGCAAATATATTTGTAATTGAAAGGAATTCATTTGTTAATATTGATTAATTGCAGGAGGACACATAAATCCAGCAGTGACGTTTGGACTATTTGTGGGACGCAAGGTGTCTTTAATAAGGGCAGTACTATACATAATAGCACAATGTTTAGGTGCAATTTGCGGTGCTGGACTTGCCAAGGGGTTCCAAAAATCATACTACAACAGGTATGGTGGAGGAGCTAACTCCGTTTCTGATGGTTACAGTAAAGGCACTGCTTTGGGTGCTGAGATTATTGGCACCTTTGTGCTAGTCTACACTGTTTTCTCTGCTACTGATCCTAAGAGAAGTGCCAGGGATTCTCATGTTCCTGTAAGTATCTAATTAATCACTTTTTTTTGGACTTAATTTAACTTTTACTACATGGTTTGTTTAATTTAATTTAATCTAATGTTATAGGTATTGGCACCACTTCCCATTGGATTTGCCGTGTTCATGGTTCACTTGGCAACAATCCCCGTCACCGGAACTGGTATTAACCCCGCTAGGAGTTTCGGACCCGCCGTTATCTTCAACAACGACAAAATTTGGGATGACCAGGTAAATATTGTAGAGAATTATGGTAAAATACAAGTTAAGTTAGTGTAATATCAACTACAGTCACATTTTGATCTGCATTGATATCAGATACATCAATTATTTAATAAAAGTTCGGTTTCTATAGGGTTATAATTAATTTGGAGTTTGTTTGTTGTTGGTGCTTTTCAGTGGATTTATTGGGTTGGACCATTTATTGGTGCTGCAGTGGCTGCAATCTACCACCAATACATTCTAAGAGGATCAGCAATTAAAGCTCTTGGATCCTTCAGGAGCAATGCTTAATGAATGGAACATGTTTGGCCTCAATTATTGTTTATGAGTTGTTGATGATGTTGTTGTTGTCTACTGGTCCCTGTTGAAGGTTTTGTCCTCTTGCTTTCAATTCCACGTTCTGAATGGGCCTATGTGTTTGGAATAATGGAATGGATAAAGAAGCCAAAATGACAATGGGGTCCTCAGAACTGTAGATAAGCATGAATATGATTCTGATTATGATTATGTATGTTATGTTTAAGGGTGTATTTGTATCCCTTCTTTTTATCTTTTGTTATCTTTTTTGTTTTTGTATTTTATTTAAGGATTTCTCATGTGTTCTCTTTTATTTATGTCATAAGTTAGCCTTTTAATCAGATTTTTTACTTTGTTTTTCTTACTGGTGTGTTTCAATTCAATCATCTTGTGCTTTGTCAATTTTGTTTGTGTTTCTAAAATTCAACCTTAGCTCAATAATTTAGCTTAACAGTAGAAAATATAAAATTTCCATCATAGACTTGAAGGATACATGGAAATTTCACTCATAAGGGTACAAGTGTAACCTTAAGGCTACAATTTGATAAATATTCTCTAAAATTTTAATATAATTTTTATGTTTGCATGCTTATCGTGATGCAATAAACTATAATAAAAAGATTAGGATCATAATTAAATTATCATTGCCGTCAAAATCTTCTTTCTTATAGGCTGACATTAAACTTCTCCTTTCTATAGGCTGACATTAAACTGAATTAAGTAAAATGCTATTTTTCTATTATGAATGACAGGCGAATCTGTCATGACACAACTGGTATGTTTCCTGACTAGATTATGTGAAACTAAACTGGAAAGGGATTTGCTGACTAGATTTGAGCATTAAGAGAAGAAACATGTGAATTATGGTAGCATCTATAATAAAAATAAAAATGATGATAGAAATAATTTTAAATGGTTTTAGTATGTAAATGTAAAGAGAAGACATGTGAATTATATAAGATGGAGAATTGATCAAGTAGAGAATATTCAAACAAATAGAAATAGTGAAAGACTTACAAAATTGTAAGAGAAATGATTAAAAAAAGATTATGAGAAACATAATTGTTAATAGAACTTTATACCTGTCTCATCTCTTGAAATAATTAAAAAAATTGTGTAATGCTAACTTGTGCTCCAAGGGTACAAGATAAAAACTAAATTAAAAAATATCATCTTAGAAATTGTGTACAAACTTTAATGAAAGTATAAAATTAACTTTTAAATTATTTTTTCCAATACAAATTTACCATAAGTGGTTTTCTTAACATGTGTTCTTGAGACACAAGTTAACATAAAGTATTTCTTCAAGTTTCATCATTAAATGATGCTAATAACTTTCGTCGTCATCATTATTGTGTAACGTTCTCTCTATCAATTTTTATAACTCTCATGCAACTATGGAACTACGCTAATATCGTTACACCGATTGTATACACCGTCCAGACGTGTCTCCGAGAACCACATGATCCGAACTCTTATTTGTCTCAAAAATAATAACTCATTAATCATTACCTTTTACATTTATCCGACACATCCGACGTTTCTTTCACAATGCTAATAACTTATAATTAGATTTTGAGAATTTCGAATATTCATTATCTATATAGTAAAAATGTAACTTAACACATCTACTAAATTTTCCTCCTAAAAAATTTAGAAAAATAACACAAACTATTTCAAAATAAATAAATAAATAAATAATGAGAATAATAAGAGATATATAATTAAAATATAATAGAGGTAGTTATAAGAATGTTAAAGTATGACAATTAACTTTTAAAAAAAGTCCCAAGTTTTAGAAAATAAACATATGTATGGATACACTTATAAGAAAAACAAAATTCGCAATAAATTAATTTTAAATGTTATGCATTATCATCAGACTTATCAACACTAACATTGTTCACACTAGGAAAAGAGACTTATTTTAGTATTGAGAGAACGAAATACATAGTAAGAGTTCTCCCGATAACTCAATACAAACAAACTTCTAGTTTCATTGGACTTTTAGTTTGTTAGTCTATTTAAATACTAATTGAATTGCGTATTGACATTTGTTCAAATAAAATGGTCCTTTAAGTAAGCTAACTTACCAACAAAGCCTTTGAAAATGATGTAGGAAGGTTGGATGCGCGTATTGAAGAAGAAGTTGCGCGTTGCAAAGGTTCAGCAGGATTTGTGCAAGTTTGGCGTCTGATATCCAAATGACTATTCTTATACCTTTTTGATCCAAAAATAACATTTTACTATTTTATGCAATTTTTAATATTATTATGGTTTAGATTAAAAGCTCATTGGGGTTTCTTTGCTTCTCTATTCAAACACTTTTGGTGTGGTTGTCTGGATTAGTTTTGATTATAACAATATTTAGTATTTTCTCTATCTGGTGGATTCCAGAGTTCTACCTGACAGGTTTGTTGCTTGCAAACTTGTATTTTTATTCTAGGTTTAACGCTTGCTAATCTGTAGTGTTTTCGATGGTGCCTGGTGGCATTAGAGCAAGTTTCTTCTGCTTCTTTTTGTAAATTAATCATGTTGAAACAAGTTTGGTTCTGCAACTATCCTTGAGTTTTTATGATAACAAAGCTTGATATGTATAAAGAATGATTTTGTACTCTAATTATTTTATTAAGTACACATATCATAGAAAACAAATTTTGACTATGAAGAAGTGAACTATGAGCAAACCAGACTCTAAAAAAGTCAAGTATGGTCAAGCTAGACTCTGAACCAAAGGAACAAATTGGGGTGTGTTTAAATGAAAGTCAAACTTCTAGATTACCAAGTGAACGCTTCTGCAAAGAAACCACCTAGAATGACTCTGATAATTCAAGCCTCTGAAGTCTTTGAACTTTGAACTCCATAGACTCTGAATTTTTATTTCAACAAATTCTAAAGAGAGGCTCTGAACTCTGCTCAAGCTTCATCAACTTCAATGCGAAGCCTCTGACTAAAAGTTAATGAACTAAAATCAACGACTGAAAGAAGAACACATTGCAGGTATAATAAGTAGAAAAACAAATATTATTTCCACTACCCCGAAGATCAAGAAAAGGATTCTACTATTCTACCAACGTTGTTCCTCACATTCCACCTCACCCACTATTTGCTGCAAGCATCACTCTAATGTTGTAGAAACAAGTGACCATCTTACAACTATGATATTTTAGGATATTTCAACTTCACCCTCAAAAGGATCTATTTTTACCTATATAAAGAGGTCTTGGAAGTTTGAAAATGTAACAACACTGAATAACAACATTGCAAAATTCTCATACGTGAGAAAGAAAAAGAGAAGTGTTTTCACACTAAGAAAACTATCAAGTTTATATACTTAGAACACTTTATTGAGTATTTCTTAAGTTAATATCTTTGATTTATACTTGTGTGTCTTTTTATTTTTAGAAGCATCTTGTAAACACAACTTGTATCATTAACCTTTGATTAAGTTCTTTGAGAGACTAAAGTATAGTTAGAATTCTCAAAAAGTAATTGATAGCTTGTCATTGATGTTGTAATTAATTCTTTGATTAGTGGACTAAGTTCTTATTGAAGGAAAAATCACTCAGACAGGTGAACTCGATTTAGCTTCATTAACAGCAAATCAGGATAAAAAATAGTTGTGTATTTTATCTTTGTTGAGTATTTGATGTTTGTATTATTTGGTTGAGATTTTTTTTAATCTAGAAACCTAATTCAAACCCCCATTTCTTGTGTTTCTTGAACCTTCAATTGGAATCAAAGCTCCGGTTATATTATTGATCATTTTATATCAAAAATTTATCTGTGTCAACAAAAGATCCATTTTTGTTGAAACATATTATGACAGCTATTAACAATGATAAAGATCACTACTCTACTAAGCCTCCAGTTTTTTATGGAGAAAATTTGAATATCGGAAGAATAAAATCGAACGTTTCTTCCTTGGTTATGATGCAGACTTATGGAATATGGTCATTGATGGCTATATTCTTCCCATTGATACTAATGGTGTTAAATTGGAGAGAAGAAAGATGAATGACCAACAAAAAAAATCATCATAGGTCAAGAAACATCTTGTTAAATGTTATTTCATACACTGATTATAAAAATATAAAAAATAGAGACTCTGCAAAGTCTATATTTGATTCTCTTAGAATGACTCATGAAGAAAACGAACAAGTTAAAGAAACCAAAACATTGGTCTTGATTCAAAAATATGAATCCTTCAAAATGAAAGATGACGAAACTATTGAGGACATGTTCTCAAGATTTCAAATGCTTGTAGATGGTTTAAAATTTTTAAATAAAGGCTACACTAATGTAGATCATGTTAAAAAGATCATCAAAAGCTTACCAAGGAAATGCAGACCTATGGTGACTGCACTTAAGGTGTCCAAAGACTTGAATAGTACGACTATGGAAGAACTTGTAAATTATTTGAGAAGTCATGAGATAGAGTTGGAAGAAGATGAGCCTCAAAGAAAAGGTAAACTAGTGGCTATGAAATCCAAAGACAAAACAGAAAAGGTGAAGGCCCTTCAAGTTGAACAAGAAGAAGAATATGAAAAAGAAGAAGATGACATTTCTCTTCTTTCTAGAATAGTTGATCAACTATGAATAAAGAGACAGAAGCAGTCTAGAGGAATAAGAAGTGCATGTGGATGCTTTAAGCTAACATATGGATTAAAGAAGTCTGGTGCTGACAAAGATGCCATCTACTTCGAGTGTAAGGAACCAGGCCACTACAAGAATGAATGTCCTAAGCTAAAGAAAGAAAAGTCTAAGAAGAAGTTGTTCAAATATAAGAATAAGGTTCTAATGGATACATGGGACCACTCTGAGTATTTAGAAGGTGATTATGAAGAAGTTAAAGTCAATGCGGTGCTGATGGCAAGCATATAAGCATTTGACTCAGACTCAGGATTAGAATCTATATCAGAATCAGACTCCAATGAGACATCCTTTAGAATCCAAGTTAAAACACCAATATTGGTACCTATACTCTAGATGCT